CAATATTGTAGATCGAGGACATGCTTCTCTATTCTTCGCCAGTTAGAGCTCTGGGCCCATAACCCATGTTACAAGTTTTAATTTAAAAAGAACTTCTTTATTTGAATGTAGCAAACGGAATGAAAATTTTCGAGACAGGAATTGAAAATTTTTCTTTAACAAAAACAATTAATACAAATCGTTCTTTATAGATATTTTCCAAGTGTTTTCATTACAAGTAGTTCTTCAACAAAATATTTCGAGCTCAACATCGCCTGACCGGATAGCAACGCCCTGACATTCTAGGGTGGTATCCCTGCGGTCGATGTCTGCTTCGATGAGACGATACTGCACGGTGTGGTGCGTAATGAACGCTAAGCCTCCACCATTATCCCGCTCGCGATCTCGACGGTGCACGTTGTATCCGGCACAATTCAACAGTGTTGAATTGCTGTGCAACTTCGTCTCTTGGACCGCAGCTATCAATATGCCATGCCTTCCCATTAAGACGGTTATCTCCTCGATCTTGCTCTGACGCCCGTTACAGTTAAATTGAAGGAGCTTCATATGGGAGGCGTGTGGTGATGCGGGGTGTGAGGGATGTGTGTGGTCGTGCCGCAGTTGGCTGTGTGCGCTGCTGAGGTGGTTGCCGCCCTGTGGTGGTGGCGGGAGGCGTCGCAGTTGAGGTCTGCGACCGAGCAGCGCAGCACGGGCCCTCGAAGTTCCTCGTCCAATCTCGCGTGGTGCGCAGACCTGAGCATGCCCTAAAGTGGCACCAGCCAAGGCAGGTGTTGCACTTGACTGATGTCACATTACAGAATATCCTGGTCTGACATACCGTGCAGATTGTAGGAGGAACCAAGAGTTGTTGGCGGCGGCGTGTGGGTGATGGTGTGATTGTGTGTGTTCTGTGGTCTGTAGCCGTTGTGGTGTGGTCTATTGGTCTATTGTGTTATGTTGTTGTGCTGTGGTGCTGAGGTGGACTGGGGTTAGCCGTGGAGGCTGCTCTGTTAGAGCAACAGGGGGCCACAAAAGACGTGGTCCACTGCCGATGTGTCCGTAGTCCTGAGCAGACTCTGAGCAGACTCTGAGGTGACTCCACCCCTCGCAAGCATTGCACTTGACAGAGGTGGAGTTGTGGTGTAGTCGTCTCTGGCATACACAGCAGTTGTAGGTTTCTGGCCCTGGGTTTGACTCGATGCCAGCCCTGAGTAGGAGAAAACGTAGCGAATGTAGCCCTATGGACGAACAACTTCTGAGATACTTCGCCGACCTAAACGGGGTTAGATCGCCGAAACAACAGCCCTTGGTCGGGTAAAACCCGAGTCATTCCGGTACGTAGAACCGGCTGTCGTGGGAACTTTCAGTTAAGAAACATTTTTTCGCGCGAGATAGAACGACGTAATCATAGCAGAAAAGTATTCACTAATGCAGCTAAAAGCATGGTGCGTCGCCGTGAGCGTCAACGTATGCCGCGCCAAAGTATTGTTGGGCGCCAGATAAAGTGAACTTTTAGCAGAAGCTGGCGCTAACTTCAAGGCTGATGAAAAAGGCGGCGTAAGGTGCGGCAACGGCGGAAACAACGAGAATGTCAACGTACAGCAACAACGAAAGACAACTACAGGTGGAAACAACGGTGAGAATAATGGAGAGGACAGTCTCGAGAACAATGGTGAGGACGAAGACAATGATGTAGGCTGTAACGAAGGTGCAAAAAGTGCAGTAGACAACGGTGATGGTGCGGCATACGTGCAAAATATTGTAACATGTGCACGTAGCGGTACTTTGGGCGTCCGTTTTCCCAGAGGTAACGGAAGCATCGATGGAGGGAGTAACGGTTCGAGTAACGACGCACAGTGTTTCGACTATATGGAGGCATGTAGAAAAAAGTCAAGGTGACAATTGACAAAAAAAAAAGGTTGGACTTAGAGAGGTAAAAGTAAAAGTCATAAACGTCAAATTTTACATTATTTACTCGCCTCCCTTCTTCACGTACGATACATTTCCAAAAAAAATACGGGAATGGGCGCGATACCGACTAATCAGTTTAGTTGCCTTTGGCGATTAACCCATTAAAGAAAGTGTTCCTTTTTCAACTGTAATCAATTATTTAAATGTCGTGGAATATTCAGGTGAACGAATTTGTCATTTATTTGGTACTTTCCTATTTTCTTACCAAAGAATTTACTTTGAAATGTAGATGCTAAAGATTATTAGTAAAAAAAAGTGTGAGTACCGGTCCATCAGGTTTCTTAATTTTTGATTTTCAGCTTCTTTTTGCATAATTTCGCGAAAAGAATTTTTCGAATAATGGGAAAATCTGATTAAACATTGGGGAAAAAGCGAGTACTTACACCTAAGTCTTTTTATAGTAAAACCTTTGTTTTCTGAGAGTGGAAAGCAGGAAACAAAAATTAACCAAAATTCCATCACATTTAATGACTGGGCTTACATCTTTTATGAGTTTTGGACGTTATAGCTATCCAATCTTTCCCATCTTTTATATTTAGGTTTTTCTAATAAAATAAAGACTACAAACTAAATTTTATCAAAATCTGACGAAATTTAATGTTTCCGCCCACAAGAGTAGAGGGCGTGGCAATTATTCCATCTTTACAAAATTTCAATATTCTCTATTTCTAAGTAAAACTAGAGCACATGTCAAGTTTCAGGGAAATCAGTGCAGCTTTACTATTATTTCCACCTGACTCCATATAGCCGAAACACTGTGCGACGCGGCGTCCGGCCGCAACAACGGTAGTTTCCAATCGGTGCAATTAAAAGTCGATTTATTGCGCAAAGAGATCCAACTCCTATACTTACAAAATGCCCTGTTCGGAAAAGAGGTTTCAATGGCAGTAAGTGTGGAAAAGGCGAGCAATGAAGCTCCGTTCGAAATTTTATAGGTGATTATACCAACGCCCAACAGCGACGATGGTGCGAGCAAAGGATGAGATGCGATCAACGACACTGAGACGGGAAACTACAATACTGATAACGACAACGTTCCTTACGGTGGTAACGACGATGTTCAGCAGCCGTATGAGTTACCCCAAGAAAACTTCGATGCTCTTTTACTGCAAAGTAGATTTCGTCCTATAGTAACAAACCATGAAATAGTTTGCGACTCGAGGAATACAGCTGGAGCGGCAAATTTTTCGAGTGAGAGCGATAAAGTTAAACTTTTGGAGAAACCGATCCTTCTCTTAAAATTAGAGTTGGAACTCGAAAGGGAAAAGGCTAGAGAAACGGTTCAATATACAATTCGAAGCCAGAGGTCCCGTTCGAGATGATGAAAAAGTTGGTGGCTAATAGCAGTGGCGCAAGAATTTATGGCAGCGCAGACAACAGCTATGGCGCAAACAACGACATCGACGAAGACAAAATCAGAGGCATAAACAACGACAGCGACCAGTGATCGGACTTGAAAAAAAATTTGTGTGGTAGACTCTGGAAAAAAATGTGGTAGATTTCAAAAAAATGTGGTAGATCTCAGGTTTTGGATCAAACTGTACAAAAATTAAAAAAATTCTGCAAGGTTTCACATAAATTGCAAACATTTTAATTAGAATCTGAAAAAAACAATTTTAGTATAATAAAGTGTAAGATTGAAGTTGCTAAAAATTGCGTTGCTTCCATATCAAGATATTTTTCGAACATATTTTCAACAGTTTTTCTTTTTATCACATCACGATGTAGCGAACAAATGTGGCACGTTCCAGAAACCGCTGCTTGGAAATTGGTCGATTATGACAATTTTCAAGTAAAAGTAAACAACGCTTTAGAAACTTTAGATGCACTGAAATTTGCTAATACTTTCACAAAAATAGCAGTTTTTTAACATTTCCGCTATTTATTATTTTTATAAATCATATATTTTGCAATTTAACACAATAAACCACGTTTCCGGTCGAAAAATTGAATATTGAGGAAATTTAATATTTTACAGTTTATTTTATAATCCCATTCTGCCTGTTGTTAGTGTTTAGTGTTGGACAATGTTTGCTCTTAAACTTAAGAAAATTATGTCGAGCAAAAATTAAACTACTGAAAATTGGGAATACGTGGTAGATTTCAGACCTTGTGTGGTAGATGTGGTAAATGCTCAAAAAAGTGGCAGATCTACCACAATGTGGTAGAAGTCCGATCACTCACAGCGACACAAACAGCAGCGACGCCAACAACGGCAGCGGCACAAACAAAAGCGTCGAACATAACAGCAACGGTGTCAACAAGAGTGCGAGCCCCAATGGTGATGAGCCCCGAGCAGGCAACAACATATGCGTGAAAGCAGAAATATTTGATGGAAGCGGGTGTAGTAAAGAATGCTACCCAACTTTTATATGTTTGTCGTATGATGAAGCAAATATGAAGATGCATCTTTTGGAAAAAGAGATGGAGTTCCTGAGATTTAAGCTGCAACTGGAAAGTCAAAACGCAGTCGTAGCAGTAGTGGCAGATCATACAAAGCCCGAAGTGCCCTGTGAAACGATAAAAGAGCTGATGGTTGATTACGATCGAGGTAATATTGCGGGCTCAGCTAATACAATATCTACATACATGGCAAAGATGTTCACAGTCAGAGACAACATACATACGGCGTAGAAACAGGTGATTCTACCTGCCCAAAGTATTAAGTTAAGTTAAGATTTGTGTCTATACCATGTTGACTGTCACAGAGTAAAAATTTTACGTGCTCATATAATTTTTTATTTATAATATGATCGAAGATCTTAGCGAATACGTCTTGTTTAACAATTGCCCGATAGTTTAATACACTGTTTTTGTCGCCGGATTTAAAGACGGGCTCTATGAAGCATAATTTCCAGCAATCTAAGAATTTACCGTACTCGATAGAAGCATTGAAGAGAATAGCAATCGGTTTTAAGACATTCGTTAAGCAGCGAATAAAAAATATCGCAGGAAAGCTATTGGTTTCGTAGTTAAAGCTCGGTTTCAGGATTGATATGGCAGATTGCACATCGTCCTCAGTGATGGAAAAAGAGCTGATTATATCCGCAGTGTATGGGTCTGTAATGTATGTTGAAGCAGGAGGGTAGTCATCATAGACTTTGAAAAAATAACGCAAAAAGATCGCACGACTCTAGAGTTGATTTAGAGGAAATTCCATCATACACCATCTTTGTCGGAAATCCGTTGGTGTTTCTTTTCGAATTTATAAAATGCCAAAATGCTGACGGCTTGGGTTTTAAATTACATTCACTTTTATAAATAAACTTTTTGTAAAGTGACTTTTGCAGATTGTCGAACTTTTTACGAAGATATTCATATTTTTCCTATCCCTCAACAAGTGGGTCCTTCGGAAATTTTTAAAAGCTTTATTTTTCTTATTCTTTAGGCTGCATAGCCTAGCATTAAACCATGGTGGTTTGCTGCTTCGAGCCACTTGTTTCAGAGGAACGAAAGACGAAACTATATGGGAAAACTTTTCGTGAATTATTTTATAGATAGAGTCCGGATTCCTAATTGGTACAATGTAGTTCCAATCAATTGAGCTTAGTTCCGAGTTTATTGCATCAAAGTTAGCTTTTTTGAAGTAAAAATAGGGCGAAGAGTAGGCACAAAGATTATCAAAACTGTAAAATTCAAATGTAATTTTAAAGCTTTGTGATGGATGCTATTTGGAGAAATCGGTGCCAGGTTCAATTCACAGTTAGATCTAAGATCAGTAGTAGTAAATACAAGATCTAGTATTTTATCATTATCATTATAAAAGCTATTTATTTGTTGAAAATTGTTGGATGTGAAAAAGCTAGTGACTGATGATTCAGTATCGGATTTAATATTGAAAGGCGTCGGTTTGTGGTCCGCAGTAGACCAGACGATGCCTGGTAGATTGAAATCCCCTATGACAATGGCCTGGCTATTACCAGTGATGCCGCTTGTTATGTAATCAATGTTAAGGAGCTAGAATTAGGTGGTATATACGATAGGAAAGGGAAAACAGTTTAAATGCTACAAGTCTGCTTTGCATATTTGACCTAACCGCTAAGAGAACCCCACCCCCACGTTCACAACCACTAGCTATAGGACATCTATCTTTACGGTATACCGAGTAGTAATTATCGAAGCATTCTGCACTTGCAATGTCTCTATGTAACCAAGTTTCGGTTATTGCAATGAAATCGTAATCATGCAATGAGGTTGCCAATCTAAAATCATTGACTTTGGTGCCCATACCGCTTATATTTTGACAATAAATAGAATATGAGTTGAAGCTTTGAGAAATGCTTGTGCGACTCAATTCTTCAAGTCCTTCCCCACTTGATTTTCTAAAAAATGGAACGGCCGAATTTTAACATCTATCGGCCATAGCAAGGGGTCAAAAACCTTTGTATAAAAACTGGGGGATACCCCTAATTTACAATTGATTCTCTTCAAGTCCTTTGGATTTGCTTTTTTTTATAAGTTTGTAGCGGACTAAATGCTGACAGCTTATCTTCGCGTGTTTGCTAACTTAAGCAATTATATCCTCCGTATTGACAGTTGATTTAAATGAGGAGAGGTGTACCCATTTTTTGCTCACAACTGTATCTAATTCGCTATTGTTATTTCGGCCAACAACAACGCTCGAAGTTCTCGTTTTCTTTGACTTTTTGTTTTGCACGGTCAACCACTTCCGGAGCGTCAGCAATAGTAATAGGCATATCTATGTTAGAGTTGGTAGGTGAAGCAGGAGTAGCAGAGATCGTTGGTGTTGTTTTGGTTGTTGTGGTAGGAGGCAAGCTTTTCTCTGAGATATTGCTATTTGCAATATTTTTATGTGTAGCGGGAGCGCCGTTTGAAGTGTTTGCTAGCGCTTCCGCTGGCTTGTTGACAGGTACGTATTGGAGATTTTGGGCAGATTTTTTTGATGTATTTGCAGGAGATCCGTTCGCGGTGTGAGTTGTGCCAGATACTTGCTGTGCCCATGTGGATTGAGCACCACAGTTTGGCTCAAATTGCATAGTAGCATTTGCTGGGAGGGCAGGCAAACAAACTGCAGCCGAACCATGCGCGGAGCTCAGCAAGCTTTACAGAAATGAAGGCCAATTTTTTTGCATTTTCGCTCTCTGTTAATACATTTGATAACATTCTTCAATTCTCTTATTTCATCGCATATCTTCGAGTTTTCCTTTTTGGTTTTCTCTAATTCCTTGCATATTTTGTCACTTTGTTCGCTAAAGCTAACAGAAATTTCGCGAATTTTATATATTTCGCGCACACTTCTTTCGCATACTCCTTGTGCTTTTTGCATCGCGCTTATTCTTTCGCTGTATTTGGCTTCAGTCGCGAGCCGTTTTTCTCGACTACATTTTGGATTTCCTTAATACCAAAATCAACGTTGTTAATGTACATGAAGATTAGGAAATTCACCCAACTTCCCCAAAGTATATTGGTCTATACCCGAGCATTTTGATTGTGAGTGATAAATATTGCCGCATACACCCGCACACCTTATTCCGTACTCGCCGCGGATTTGCGATTTGCACTTTTTGCATGTTTAGTTTTTATTTACTAATAGAGCGTATAAGTGACCCACATATTTAAGGGAGGGGGGATGTAGGTGTTCTGACCATGGAAATCCATGTTTCCAAATTTGAGTAGTCCACTTGTATTAAAGTATTTAAAGTAGTTTCATGTCCACTAACAATACAGTGCAAAATCTTTATATTTTCTGAAAAAATAGCATCAAATGTTAACTACTATTGCAAAAATCGCTATAATACTTATGTATGTATTTATACACTGTCAAAAGTCTCCATCTTCTGATGAACTTAGAAAACTGCAAGAAAATGTGGTAGTTTCGGTGCATAGTGGAAGGCGTCGTAAAAAAAAGCAGACCAACAATCTTCATGGAAGACCGAACGCGAAAAGCTAAAAAAAGATAGCTATGTAAAAATTACTGTTTCAAAACTCGCCATATTAAATTTTTATATATAAAATTTGCAAAAACTACCACACTGCGATACTGTTTTTTAATGTTATTAGGCTCTTGTTTATCCAAATTTTAAGATAATAAAGAGAAATATACAATTTGGACTTGTTGTTGTAGACGTTTTTTTAATTTATGGCTCACTATTATAAAATCACACAACGCTTTTTGAAAGTGGACTACTCATTTGTGCAATATTAAAAAAAATGCAACAAACTTTCGTAAAAATTTCGAACTTTTAAAAATTCTAAAAAATCAACCGACATTTTTAGCCATTTGAAACGTGTACTTTATTCTACTAGAATTCAATGGGCTACAAAACTGCATACTCAGAATTTAATTAAAAAACTCGAAATTTTAACGATATTTGTAGAATATTTTTTTTTAATTGCATACATTTTTAAGGCAGTGTCACTCGATTGGTACATTTGTACAGAATTGTAAATTCTTATATTAGGCTATTGCAAGAATGATGGAATACAAGATTGCACCAATCGAGCTGAGAGCAACTGGCCGTGACGTCAAAATATACCAGAATGAGAGAGCAAGACGAACTCGACAAGAAAAAGAAGAAGCATCGAACAGAAGGCAGTATTTCCAAGTTTTGAATTTCAAAAAGCACCAAATTTTTATTGGTGTATTTTATGGACTTTATATGAATACATAATTTTATTGTAAGGATGCCGATTCAAATTAATAAAAATCAATGTTTCTTGCAAAACGGTCGTTTTCTTCTGGCATGATTGAAGGTGCTGCACATATTTCGTTGTCGCTTATGATTGTCCCTGTGCCATGATTTTGTTTAAATTTTTGTAAAATTGCTTAGCACACTTACGATTGCTATACATTTTGCTTACATTTTTTAAGATTTTCTAATTTGAAGTCTTCAAACTAAAAACAAAAGCACCAAAAACGCACCAAGCACAAAACTCAAAAATTTTCGCGTTTTGAATACCCAGTAAATTTGGTGCGAAAAGCATGAAGTTGGTTGAATGTAAACAAAAGTATATTATGACGTCAGCGATTGGGTGGATGCTGGCAAATCGACGAAGAGAGGGTTAGCGGTCCGTGAATGGCGCGACCTTTATTTTCTGGATCGTGAGGCTGTTGGTAAAAAAATGGCAAAATTTTTTTTTGTAGCCAAAAGATTGGTACAATACAGCGATGTTCTATTGAAAAATTTCAATAATTAATTTTCGTGATTGGGATAGTGAAAAATATTTTGGGTGTTCAAACAATTGGGATACGATCTGCACCGAAATTCGGCAAATACCCAATCGTGTGACACTGCCTTTAAACTTGTATTTATACGGATGTTGGTAAAGAACGAACTATAAGAAACTAACCGAAGTTAAATAACAACAAAAATGGTGTGGCTATAATTTTTTCGACTACTGTACATAAGTTCGCTATGATTACTCGGCCGTGCTGTCATAGTAGCACAATGCCACTCATATTTGACTTACAAACAAAATACGGGCAGGAATTTCATGCTTTCAACCCTGTTTTTATGAAAATTTTTATTTTTATCAGTATTTTTCTTTTAATCAAAATATGTTGAAATAAAAGTCAAACTATAAAAAATTTTGCCAGAACCAGACCTTCCACCTTGTATTCCATATATTGTATTTTTTTTAACTTTAATCATTTTTTTAT